AAAAGTTTTACCCTTACAATTACTAACTCACTAGGTACTGAAAGGCCCTAATTATAACAAATCCTAATGGCAAGATCAAGGGAAGCATGTTTCTCATCAGAGTATTCTTAGCGCTTTAACTATTTTCCAACCCAACAATAATCCTAAATGAATGTAGGACTTTAGAGGTCTCTTCAATTCTGACTTTAACTACCAATTATTATTAGCAGCTTTTGACCTTTATTTGTTATAAACTATTTTTCTCAATACTCTGTACCGCGTTAGACAGCAAGCACCACTTAATTCTGCATCTACCTCGCGGAAACCATACCTCCAAGTTCCAACCAAATGAAAGCCTACTACTTGAGATATTACCTAACAATACACAACACAAAGTAACACTATCAGACGTAATTCTAATGACCATGTATAATCTCGGATCTAAAACATCACGGCTATTTTCTTTAAATAACTACCCGACAAAAATAAAATAAAATTTCAAATTGGAAAACTAACAATTGTAAACTCAAGTCTTTGACTCGTTTTTGACCCATATGGTATCGGAATCATAATAAATGGAACAAAGTCACCTGGTATAATCCCGATGGGAGCAGTGTCCAATTGCAGACATCAAGACGCCGCTCACCAAACGCTGCGTTAACGCCGCGTATCTTACGCTGTCACTGGACGCCAATGTACTCCGGCTTGAATTGGGACCACGTCATGTCTTCATTTGCTGCTTCAGATAGCGATTCAGTTCGAAGTAGCTGCCTCAACGTTAGCCACGTTGTATCTTCACTACAGAGTAGCTAGCTATGTATAGCTAAGCACTTCCAATCTTGCAGCACTATCTTCTTCGTCGCATTTGCATGTAGGTAGTTCTTCACGAACCGGCTCCGATAATTTTAACATTTTCAATAATCCCGGTCCATCCCACTTCTGATGTAGGATCAGGGTCCGACATTATTTGAAAATAAAACAAAGAGCTTCACACAATCACTTAGTTTATTTCGATTAAATGAACTTACTTTCACATTAATTTTTAATTATAATAATTGAATAATTCAGCACTGATTATATAAAGGAAACACTCAAATAAAACCAACAATAAAATTACTCAGCGATTGCGTAACGTGTGAACTGGGCAACGATCGACGAACGACTGACTCGAGCTTGCGCTTGCGCTGCTTTATATATCACTCGGTGGTGGGGTTGAAGTGACGTCGGTCAGTTGTTTGTTCACTGCTCGCCCATTACATTTGCAGTTTACAAAATAATGACGGCGGCGCCGACATATATAAGTGTTACTGTACAAATTATGGCAAATAAACATTTATTTATTTATTATTTATAACCACCTTTACTCTTCCAGTGGGTGTCATCATAATAGGAGAATATACATTTGACAGAGCAGACGCTCTTTCGGCTTGAACTGCCGTCTGCAAAGCGTGTAGATTTCAGCTAATCATATCATTATGCAAAAGAAGGTTTATATGTAAAGAGGCCATCCACCAGTATGAAATCACAAGAAAACAAACAAACTGTTCGATATGAGAGGTTATGGGATCAAATTGCCCTCCCTAATAGACTAACAACGCCATAATAACTCCTTTGGTCCCTCGGGTATTCATAAGCAATGCTGGCTTTTTTTATCGGGACAAGCCCACCACAATCTCCCAAAACCGCTGCAACTCCTGTACATCGGAATCTACAATAGATACGTCGACCTCATCGTTCGCTTGATAAAATTGACATGTAAAAGTGCTGCTTTGTAGCCTATTTGCAGAAATAAATTCACTTGTTACAACCATACAAACACCGGAACACTGAAGTCCGGCGCGTCCCAGGGACATGAATAACTGCCATGGTTCCCGCAACGAAATTAATCAGAAGATATTATAAGAGGAGAAGAAAACAACGATAGTTTCTACGTCTCTCGGTGAATTACTGCAGGAGACAGAATGGATTAAGCCTAAAGGCACAAGCAACGCTGTCTGCTTACCATCCATCAGCTCATTTGCCCCCATATCTCACAAATAAATCTTTCTTTTTATGTAGTTATCTGAAGGGCCGACATTTGACCACTATCCCGCCTGGTAAGCGATGACGCGGTCTACGATGGAGCACGTCGACCCATAAGCAACCTTATTAGTCTTGAAGAGTAATATAAGAAGTAAAACTCTGTTATTTATCTCACCTTTCTCTGCCTAGCAGCCTTCATCAGCGGAGTCAAACCAGCTCTGTCTCTGGAATCAGGATTAGCTCCAAACGTCAGCAGTAACTCCAAGTATTCAGGGTCGGATACCAAGTTGATCTCTGCTCCGAAGAAGTAGCGCTTGTTGGGGTCTGCTCCGTGTTCTAGAAGAAGACGGGCCACCTCCTGGATAGAAGATTAGAGTAAGGATGGAAGGATTAAACTCAGCGTAGATCGCTAGGACTATATAAAAGGAACTGAAAAGTTAAGTTAACGTTCGTGAGACAAACTAAATTATTTATTATCTTATTTTCAGCTTACTCACGTTATTGTTTGACCGGAATGCGGATCATATTCATGAGTTGCATTCCGAGACCCGTGACGCAGCGACTGTGAAACTAGTCGAGTTCCTCGTCAAATAATTACGTGAGCATCATAGTGAATAATAAAATGTGTCTATTTGTAGTTTAGCGTGATATCGACGAATGAATAAATGGTAGCTGATTTTGCAAATGCAAATGTCGAGTAAAAAGGTATCTGTTCGGTTGAGCAATGAAAATTTGGGTATTTTACTTTTAAATAATGGTGCACCTCAACTAATCCCTATTACACGAAGATTTAAATATACAATAAATTTCATTGTACATTTAACACAGTGACTGCCTCGTTGGCCGAGTGGTCGCAAGTGCGACTGCCGGGCAATGGGTCTCGGGTTCGATTCCCGGGTCGGGCAAAGTATTACTGGGTTTTAAAAATTCTCAGTAGTAGCACGGAGTCTGGAATTGTGTCCGGTATATGGCAATAGGCTCACCCACTATTACATGGGACTCATAACATAAATAGTGAAAAGTGGGTGTTACATTGTACAGTGGCATAATGTGCAACTTTGCCTACCCCTTCGGGGATAAAAGGCGTGATGTTATGTAATGTTATGTTATTTAAAACAGTTTAAACAAAAAATTGGTAGCATGGCTTGGGCACTTATCGAAACCAAAAACTTCTTAGTGACAAAAACGGTAAAGGCTAACTTACATAATGTTTATTCCTAATAGCCAGCCTCAGCGGTTCGTCACAGAGTGTAGTCCTCGGGAACTCTTCACCAGTGTTCGGCCTGTAGTCCACTGCTGCTCCACTCTCCAGCAGCAACTTTACCAGCTCTGTGTACCTGTAACGTACAAGTAGATAACTTGAGTATCCTACTAACCAGAGCAGACGCATCACCTGATGGTAGGCAATCGGCGTCGCCCATGGACACCTGGAACACTAGAGGAGTTACTAGTGCTTTGCTGACATTGGGGGGGGGGGGATGACCTCCGCTAACCTTAATTACTCGGTAAAGGAAACGTTGTTTTACGCCGTGTACTGTGAGGTCGTGCTACTACTCTGGTCGAACCGACCCATCCGTCCTGAAGCTTGGCTGTACCATGTCTAAGTCTCTATTCGACCATTACTTTACCAATAAGTGTGAAGCCATGTTAAAAAAAAATAAATCAATTTTTTACAATAATTATTGAAAGAATAGGGTAGATGACAAATATTTATTTTAATGTCCGTCTGGTAGATTATTTAAAAACATTAGACTTACGGAAACGAATAGTTTCTAGTATATTGATTTGAAATATCGCACGACGTCACTTTTGAGTACGATTTATACTCTAAATTGACTTAGCTACCTCCCACTCCTAAACTTTGATTCGTTTTATCTAAGTATCATTTTATTATACGACAAAATAAAACAATACGTGTCTAATATTTTTTCACTACTTAACTGACGGACTAAATAGATATTTAATTTTCATACCCTGTCATAATCCCTATTGTTACTTTAGTCAAGTTTACGTCCGCGGAGAACCTAACGGGTTACGAGGGCTCCGGCTCGAAGTGCATGAGTAGGAACGGGGTGGTTTTTAGTCAGTAAGAGTCTGACACTCTCTCCCGTGAGTCTCAAATGACTTCTCCCGCCTGGGAGAGCCCAGGCTCTCCTAACAAGAAGGATAATCACTCACCCATGCTCAGCAGCGAGATGCAACGCGCTGTATCCACAGTCGTCCCTGGCATTGACGTCACACCCTCGCACCACCAGCAGCCTGGTAGCCTCCAGGTAGCGCTGCCAGATCGCATAGTGCAGGGGCCGGAGTCCTTGCGTTACTGGCTCATTTACCTGGAAGTTTAGAAGAACGTATGCTCAAAAACTTCAGTGGAAATGGACAGGACATGTGGCGCGACTAATAGACCTGAGATGGATTATAAAAATAATAACCTGGAACGGCCCACTAGGCAAGGAAATATAGGAAGACCCACGACACATTGGGAAGACGATATTAGGAAAATAGCGGGCCCTCAGTGGACTACAGTAGCACAGGATAGAAATAAGTGGAAGGCTTTGGAGGAGGCCTTTACTCAATAGGGGTTCTTACAGGGTGCAAACTAAGGAACACTAACAATAAATTAACTTTAAGATTTTAATGTAGAGGTATGTACACTAACAATACTAACAGCAAGAATATAATGTAAAATAGAATATAAAATTAAATAAATGACTTTTCTATTTATTTATTTATTATTTAGAATATGGAAAGTTTTAAGATAGGTCAAACAGTTTTTTTGTTTTAGAAATATACGTTGCCTTAGGATTTCCTCCTATGTCATGTTGGAAAAGGCAGCGGCTGAAGGGGAGAGAGAGGCGTCAAGTTCTCTCCCCTCTCGCCGTAGACGCGCCGGTCCTCAGCGCCGTGTAGCGGCAGCCGATCTGCGACCTCCATGAGAGGGAGGCCTACGGGCGACTGACCGGGGGAGTCAGACGTCCGCTATATAGGCGGGAGTAGGCGTTAGCGTAGTGTTCCACGCGCGCTACTCGAAGAAGGGAAGCAGCCTCCTAGGGTCGCTAAGGTGGCGAGACCTGCCGGGTGTGGTGATTCCGTAAAGGCAACCCGGGTCACGGTCACAGGCAGTGAAGGAACACCGCGGTGGTTTTAGCCGGTAAGAGCGCGGCACGCCCCCTCACGGCGCGGGAAGTCCATGAGTATTTCCATCGCGATAGAAAAAAAAGGATTTCCTCCTACGTCGTATGTGCGATTACAAACATACAAGTTCACATACACATCACACCCAGACCCGGAACAACAATCTGTGGGTCACATAAAGAGTTCTGTGCGGGTGTCGAACCCACGCCACGTTGCGCGGCAGCCACGGCGCCAACCGTGCAGTCAATTGTGAAGCGTGACAAATACGTCGGAGTTCGATTCCCGCATTTCCGACTCAAGTAAAAAAGTGTTTGTTTCTATGGAATACGCACGTATTGATGGGTAGCCTGATGGTAAGCAATCGGCATCGATCGTGGACACCTACTACAAACGAGGAGTAAGAGTGGGACTTGGCTATTTTTTGGGTTTCTAGTACCTACCCCACTTCAGTTGTTTCTAGCAAACCGTGATACCACTCCGGTCTACCATCATTCCGGCCGAGCAAACCTATTTGTATCAAAGAAAGACTCTTCCAAGTGGAAAACGTTTGTTAAATTTTATAGATCCTATTCCTCACCTTGGCTCCACAAGCCAGCAGTATGCGGATCTCGTCGAGCGGCACCATCCTTATGATGGAGTCCGCTAGCTCCCGCTGCAAAGATTTGCCCAGAGCCACTTCCGAAGGCATCGTCACTGGAAACAACGGAAAATATACTTTAACACTCTGAACTAAAGACATGTTTGGAATGTGAAATTGTACATAAATTGTATTCATTTAATAACTAGGTTTCCTACTTAGAGCTGATATTATATCGAACGCCAGATAAATATCGGAGGAATAATGTGAATATTTGACAATATATACTATACTAAAAACTATCGTTCTTTGAAAAATAAGGCCTAAAGGATAACTAATCACTACGCCGTAGCAGGCTCAATGGCTACGCCGTAGCAAGCTAAATAGTTACGCCGTAGCAAGTTGCAACTTACGGCCAGTTTCAATTATCCATCTATATGTTCTGTAGATTTACTTATAAGAGATACAATGTTGACAAAATAAAAAAATTAAAATAGAATCAGATAGCCTTCATTACTGAGGTCATCAGTTCTTTCCGTCACCGCGGCGAGCACGGGAGAGCATCGAGCCGTGAGTCGTTGCCTAAGTTGACACTGGCCATGAATAAACAAAACATAAACAATTAAATTAAAAACATGTTTTATGATAATGTAAACAAGTGCCAACTTCCCGCTTAATCAAACTCAAACTCAAACTCAAAAGCATTTATTTCAATTAGACCATAATTTGGTACTTTTGAAACGTCAACAAATATGAGATATATAATAGTCTGTCAGTCTGTCCGTCAGTGTAGCTAGGCGCTCGTTCCAAAATGTCGATTCGAGTGGAGAAGAACGAGCAAGAAACTCCATTCGTTACTCTTTTTAAAAAAAGTCTGTTTTACATTGCTCTGATACATATTCCAATATTGTACACACATGTGAGAATAATGTAAAGACATACCTGACGCAACATACAAATAACAGAACATACTGAAATAGAAAAAAAAACTATATAAACTATATACCTATATTATTTACTATCTAACCTCCTGCCTAAAAATTAAAATCACTCCATTGCAATTGCAACGTGAAAGAATGGCTAACAACATTTCGTTTCTGTGTCTTTGATCCGTAAAACTGATTCACGACTTTGGTAATCAACGGCAGATACCTAATTTCATTTGAGAAAAACGACTGAAGAAAACAAAACAATATTCACTTACTTATAAACGTAGGCATGATTGTCGAAATATCCAAAAAATCTGTCAACTTCAAAACCAAATTCACTTTAAATTCTCACTAGGACACATTCACAACACTAAATCTGTAATATCAATTCCAAAACACAAATACTAAAGTCCAAATACAATTTTGGCACCGATTTTACTATTCGTCTTTCTTAAGAGAGATGTTTCCTAAATGAAAAACAAGACACGACTGAGGATAAAATCAATTGATTTTATACATATATACGACACTCATACGACGTTACAATCAAAACAAATGTCACACTGTCATTAATAAAAAAACGTACACACAATTGTCTTTGCCAAACAATTCATATACGTATACAAATTCTCATTTTCCCTTAGCGATTTTTCGGGAAATCCTTTTTCAAGACTTCTCTTGCGTGCTTATTTCACACAGCTTGCTACGCGCAGTAGTTACAGCTGTGTACAGTCTGTCACTCTCTCAGCACTCCCCTACACTCCCCTAGCGCGCTACATGTCACACAGCTTGCTACGCGCAGTAGTTACAGCTGTTGAGCTGTGTACAGTCTAGTCTCTAGGTCAACGATAACGGAAAAAATTGTATCTATTGATTTATTATGAGCTGTATATTAGTGATCAAAGTATGTACAAACAGTCAACATGATTTGATTTATGTGTAGGACTGATTGCCAAGAACGTATCATTTTGTTATGTATGGTGGTAAATACTGCGTAACTGATACTGTTCAGACGTAATATGAATTCACGCGTGTGGCTCAACAATACAAGAAACAATGTCAACAGTCCGTGACAGTCAAATCATTGAAGGACTGAGGCGGTAGGGAGTGTCAGACTCTTACTGACTAAAAACCACCCCGTTCCTACTCCTGTACTTCGAGCCGGAGCCTCGGCAACCCGAGTCGTCTGAGGCTCCGTATCGACATCAGTCTTATTGGGCCTTATCTGTGGTGGTCTGATGACGCTTTTTTTTTTTAATGGGACAAGCCCGCCACAACGTCCCAAAACCGCTGCAACTCCTGTAAGCCAGGATCTACAGTAGATACAACCATGAAAACACCGGAACACTGAAGTCCGGCGTGTCCCAGGGACATGAGTAACTGTCTTGGTTCCCGCAACGAAGTGAATCAGAAGATATTATAAGAGGAGAAGAAAAAAAAACTATGGTTTTCACTTCTCTCGGTGAATTACTGCAGGAGACAGAATGAATTAAGCCTAAAGGCACAAAGAAGAGACTGCGGCAACTTTAAAAGCAAATTGTTCTCATTTAAACTTATTGATTCACCATGGTGCCAATGTTCGACAGAGGAGTTGCGATACGAGCAGTCGGCCCATCACATACTCTGGGAGTGTGATCTCTGGCAATATGAACGTAACACTATGTTAAATAATTTAATTGTTTCGTCAGGTGTAGTTTATTATACGGACCTTGTGGAATCTAGAACGAATTTCCGTGCGTTTAGGCGTTTTTGCCATACCTATTATTGGAAGCAAGTATAACAGCTCACACATAGGACCCACTTAGTTTTTAGTCAAATTTCCGTGGTGCTTGGCGACTGGGCTTCACCCAGTTGTACAGTCTCTTCTGATGGCGCTTTATCAAACCTGAACCTTTTAATTTAAAGTGACATTAATTATTATATCATGTTTTCGGCTTACTCACGTAACTATTTGACGAGAACTACTGGGTAGCAACTACTGAGTAGTTGCTGCTACTGAATAGCAGCGCGACTGTCTTCGCGTCGCGGGTCGCTGAATATTACTGCGCATGAATATGAGCTTCTAACTTAGCTTGAAACTAGTCGATATCCTCGTCAAATGGTAACAATAGCCGAAAACATAATAATTAATTTAGCATGTATGTTTATTAATCTTTCACACAAAAAGTACTGAATGGATCTGAGATAGATAAAGTCTAGAATAAGATATAGGTCACATATGCAAGTGAATCCGCTGGCTGAAGCTAGTTCTTTAAAAATAAAACTGATATTAGCCAGACCACATGGCGCTAACACATGTAAATATCACTAGTGAAAGGTTATTACGACACATGGAGCTGTGAGGGTGGGCAGAATTCCAAGTGCTTGCAGTTTGAAAGTGCGTGTATTTCAACACGTGGACATTAAATAGGTACAATAGATTACGCCACGTGTTTTGTTCCGATCTGATGTAATTTTGATTAGGAGTTTGTTATGCGTAGTAACTTTTGGAAATAAACAAGAAATGTTGGATTCCTAAACAAACAAATTTACACAAATAAGTTTTAGTTTCTAGGTCTCTCTTAACGGTTGATAAATGAGGTGAACCGTCATAGCTCAAGTGATTCGCAAGTTAAAGAAACAGTACAGGTAACGTTAGTCAAAGAACCGATGACTTTTTCTTTTCTTTATTCATTCTTTTTTTATATTTCCTGCAACTTGGCAATCTTTTGAGCCATTCAGTTGTGGTCAATGTCACCAGTCTATCGTTTTTCAATAGGAAAGTGTGGTTTCTCTCTCATGAGCGTACTCCTTTTTAAAAGCCCGGCACCAGCAACGCACCTGTGACTCCTCTGGTGTTGTGGGTGTCCATGGGAGGTACTGAACGCTTACCATCAAGTGATCCGTCGCCTCCATCGGCTCGTTTGCCTCATAATCCATAAAAAAAGCTGTCGAACACTTCCCGTGCCTTCGAGTTTAGAAGCGAGTTCATTGACGTGTGTAGATATTCTCGACTGTTAGTTTTATTTACCTGTGCTGAGGGTGCAAGGGTATTTACAAACATACAAATTCACATACACATGACACCCAGAAACGGAATTCTACAATTTGTGGATCACACACAGAGTTGTTCTGTGCCGGAATCAAACCCGCGACACGTTGGGCGGCAGTCTGCCCGGCCACCCTGCCAACCGTGCAGTCTTGTCATTTTGTCTCGATAAACACGATCCAACCAGCTGGATGAAGACAGAATCTAACCCAAACTCCTTTCTTAGCAGTTGGACGTGGCATTTGTGACTTATCAAACAACGAGGTTATTTAAAAAAGCTGAACTGAATATCAGAAAGCGCTGCTGCCCAATCTCTGTCAAATGAAACCGACAATAAATTAATGAAAACTAATTAATAACAACAGATTTATTATTAACCATAAGTTATACGCAATGTGAGCATGCGCATGTCTGTCAGTTCGTCAGGAGACGCGTGACACTATCTATCATTGTGTAATATACCGCGGCCGCCTCGTGGATGGGTGACCACGTGGCAGATTCTGATTTAAACTTATATACACCAAGCGGTCACCGGTGACCGCAACCTATTTTCTATAATTGTGTCTATAATGACGGTACTCAACGAGCTAAGAGAAGTTTAATAAAAGATGAAGTTAAATATTTTATACCAGTATCATGCGACGACGCAATTAGGTGACGAAGTTTGTTAAGGGGGGAAAATAATCGAATGTCTTCTCCCGCCTGGGGGAGGCGGGAGCGAATGTCAGACTCTTACTGACTAAATACCACCCCTTTCTTACTCCTGCACTTCGAGTCGGAACCCTAATAACCAGTGACAGAGTCCTATAGTGCCAAGTTTTTCCGAAAAAGACCAGTTTTTTTTATGGCATAAGCGGGTAAACGAGCAGACGGATCACCTGATGGTAAGCAATCGGCGTCGCCCATGTACACACGGAACCCTAGAGGCGGTACAAGTGCGTTGCCGGCCAAATGCCACTTAGCGCTTGTGTACATGTAGAATAGAAAACCAAATTATATGGAATTGACGTAAATTTTGACACTTGTCAGTGTCATCCCCATACATTTAGTTTTCTACTCTCTCTGTAGACAAGATAAAGTGGCGTTTGGTTAAAATCACTGATGGTAAGCAATCAGCGCCATTTATGGACACCCGCAACACTAGAGGAATTACGAGAGC